TCCTCCTCCTCCTCCTCCCCCCCACCCCACGGGGTACCAGCAGCTCCCCCCAGGACGGAGGCCCCGCTTCCGGGAGGCCACCTCCCCCGGGCCCCACAAGGGCCCTCACCCACCCCGGTACTCACGGCTCTCCGCGGCGGCGATGCTGCCGAGCCTCCCCGCCGGGACGCTTCCGCTTCCGCCAGGAGGAGCCGCCGGGCCGCGCTAGGCGGGGCGGCGCCCCCTACCGGATGGGAGGAAGCGGCACCAGCCCCGCCGAGCACCGCGGGGCACGGGCGAGGGCGCCGCCTGCCGGCCGGGAGGACCGGGCTGCGGAGAGCCAAGGGACGGGACGCGCAACACTCCCCCCGTGCAGCGGGACACGCACGTTGTTCCGTCACCGGCAGCCGGGACACAGGGTTTACGCCTTGCACGGGGACCCGGGACACGGACACACACTACCTCATGCAAAGCCCCATGCACGGGGATCCTTCAGTTTCAAAAATCGGCTTTGTTTCCCCCCAAAAAGCCAGCACTTCCACACTGATGTGCTTCCTACAGCAAAAAAAACCAAACCAACCAAAAACCCAGCTACTAATGACCAGCCCAGGGCACCCACAGGCCCCAGTGCAGTGAGCCCCCAGCCAAATGTTTCTATACATTTGAATTTCTCTTCATAAAGCAAAGCCACTTTTTGTAAACCAAAGTCTTTTTTGATCCATTATAAACCAGAAAAAATAATTTTGCTGCAGGTGCTCCCTCCTAAATGTGTGTGCAAGCAGAAGCCCCAGGTCACACACAGACCCGACAGCTTTTTTTTTCCCATACCAGCCGCTCGGTGCCATCTCCCACATGCTGCCCCGGGGCTTGTTGGCCCGTGGGGTTTGCGTTCCAAAATAAAGCAGCCCGGCACCTATTTCTACAACTCACCTGTCCCTCCGCAGCAGTTTTGCAGCCCCACAGGCTGCCAGAGGTTGGAAATCCTCCGCTCAGAGGCAGGCTGAGGCACAGAGCTGGTGCCTCCTACCCACGCAGAGATTTGCACAAAAAAACCTCTGCGGGAACATCAAAAAGTACCCTGAAGCTGGGAGGGAGAGGTCGCGCCAAGCTGGGATGGAGGGGAGGATGAACTTTGCCAGGGCAACGTGGGAGGCCATGAGTGAGGCATCCTTGTGTGAACCACTAAGGGAGCGAGGGGCAGCCTTTTTGCAAGTACCACCAAAATCAATGCTGCCCCCTTTTTAGCCTTATTGGCAGCAAGGTCTTGGGGCACATAGTAATTCCAGTGTCAGAGTTTAAAAAGGTTGGGGCGTGTGGTTGCGGGGCAGGATACAGATGGCATGGTATTTTCTAGATTTTTATCAGCCCCCCTGAGTCATGGCGGAGACGGCTCGAGAAGCTCTCTGTGCCCTTGCCAGAGGCTGCCCCTCCGTGAAGACGTGTGGCATGGAAGAAGGAGGACAGGGGTCAACACCACGGCACACTCCCTGCAGGTTCCGGTGGCAGCAGGGTACACTCGAGGGATTGGACATCCCACGCAGTGGAAAGCTGCCAACGGGGCCTGAAAGCCGACAGTGCCCGAAAGGCGTCACAGTTCTGTTAAAATACCTGACGCGTTCTCTCACCGGGGTCACTGCCATCGCGGCCGACACCTCTGGACCCGGCACTGCGACGTGAGGGCACGGAGGCCGCGCATGGGACTGGAGGGAACACGCAAGGCCCCCAGAGGCCGAAGGGGAGAGTGAGGGTGCACCGGACGACACCTGAGGCCACAGGAAGAGCTCCGGGTGGCGGCGGAGCCCAGGGAGACCCGCGGAGGCGGGGAGCGCAGCAGACATCTGCCGGCCGCGGCGGCCATTGCCGCCCCTTTCCCCGCTGCGCGCAGGCGCAGTAGGAACCGTCCGCCTCCATCCCGCGAGGGCGGTGGGCGCTGTGCGCAGGCGCGCGGGAACACCCCACCACCAACACCCCCTCCGCGCTGCCGCCTCGGGAGCGGCGCGGCGCGTGCCATGGCGGGCCCGAGCCTGCGGCCGCACGTGCACTGGGCGCAGCGGCACCGCGAGCTCTACCTGCGCGTGGAGCTGAGTGACGTGCAGGTACCGGAGGGGGGGCGGCTGGGGCAGGAGCGGGCAGCCCCGCCCCCCTACGGGGAGAGGGGGGGGTGACCCACCCGCGGACCCCGGCTGCGAGACACCCACGCAGCCCCGCTCCCCACCGGCGGGCTTGCCAAGCGGGAGGGGCGCGGGAGGCTTCGCGGCGCCGGCGGCGGGGTCTCGCCCCGGAGCGAGGGTGGGCTGTGCGCGGGGGTTTGGGGAAGCGCGGTGCTCGCTTGGGGCCAGCGAGACCGTCCCGTCCCGTCCCCGCCGCTCCATCCCCGTTGCTCGGTGTGGGTGCGTGAGCCGCCGCCTAACGCTTCTCCTCCTTCTGCAGCACCCGGACGTCACCATCACCGACAACGTGCTGCATTTCAAAGGTAGGGGCTCCGTCCTTGCTGGGGGGGGGGGGTCTCCGGCGAAGCCACCTCTGCTCCAGGCAGCTCCCGGCTGAGCCTGGCCCACCCGGGCGTGCGGGTGTCCCGGGAGGAGAGCCCGGGGTGCCGGCAGCCACTGCTCCCCATCGCCGCCCTTGGTGAGGGCGACCGAGCTGGGTGCTGGGTGCCAGGCCACGTACGGATACGTCGTGACACACGCCCGCCTACAAACTGTTGTATTCTAGTAACGCTAGCAGGTTGTATCTTATCTAATCAGAAGAAAAACCCCCAACCCTCTCCCTATATTTAAATATCAGTGAGATTTCCATATGTCTTTGCTGTTGGGAACAACTCGGCAACTGAACCCCGGAGATAACTCGCAGCAATTTTTCCTTTCACAAAGACCTTGTTTGCAACTGCTATCAAACCTCTGCATCAGGAACTAGTGCTCGATTTGAAAGGTAAAGCAGATCTCTTCCTAAAAGATGGTTTTGTTTCAGCCAGGCAGCTGCACGTTGCAGCACTGTGGAGCTTGTGCTGGCTGGCTCGTCCGGGTAGGGCTCAGGATATGCTGTAGCTGTTTTTATTTGGGTTTTCCCATTTATTTGGTGGCTTTCTTTAAGATGCATTGTCTGGGAAATGCTGCCTCCCTGGTGAGCCGCAGCCAGGGCCATTTGATAGGGTGTTGTTGCACATCGTGTTTTCACTTCAGGATCAGTTTACAGCTTGGAAGGGTGGAAATTAAACTCAGCATGCAGGTTTTTGGAGCTCTTCTGGGGACAAGACCCACTTATATGGGAAATGAGAGATGAACTTGCCCTCCTGCTGTTGGGAGGGGACTGCCCGCATCACATTCCTACAGACCCACCGGAGACCAGTCTCCCTGGGCACTCGCTCGTCGGTGCGGAGGCTGGATCCCCCAAACGCGGGGGATTTTCCGTGGGATTCGAGTTAGGCGTGAGCAGCCTTTTGAGCCCCTCTTTTGGGAATCTGACACGCTGCCTTCCTGCGAGCACGGACCCTTTTGCAGCACCGTGCAGAGTTGCCATAGCTTTAGCTGCCAACTCCAGCGGCCGCACCTCTGAGCAACATTTTGGGCTGTTTGTGTCTTCCCTGTTATTGTGTGGTTTCCTCTTGCCTCCCAGCAAGGCGGGGGGAAGCACTGTAAATAACTGCTGAATATTTCTATGTATAAAGCGTCCTTTGCAGGTGGGCTGCGTGAAGCTAGCTAGGACCTTCATGCTGACCATTAATTTTTGTCTTTTAGCTCAGGGTCATGGTGCCAAAGGGGACAACATCTACGAATTTCAGATCGAGTTCCTAGAACCGGTTGAGCCTAAAGTAGGTATTGTGACTTTTCTAACTCTTGCAAAGAGAAAGTAATTTTTGAAAAACTTGAAAGGAAAATGGTTGCACGTAAAGTTCACAATATGCTGTTTAGATTTCCCTGGTGACTCTGTAACTGCTGCAGACTAAAAGCTGTCTTTGGCGGTCCTCTGTCCCGGTGTTCAGCCACCATCCTGCTTTAATGCAAATTGCCTCACTGGAGCTAGTGCTTACGTGGGTCAGCTTTAATAGAAACAGGGCCTTACACGTATCAGTTGTTTAATAGTAGTTGTCATTTTTTTAAAGGATTTAAAGCAGCAAAATAATGGGAGAATTTGGCAACATGTTGCCTGATGCAACCTTGATTGGAGAGCAGGGAAACACTGCTGCAAAGTGTCAGCGTGATGTTTCCTGGTTTCTTTTGCAGCCCAACAAAAGAAAGCTGTGAGAACTCATGCTTCTGGCTTGTGCAGATTTCTTAGGTTGCCAGTACAGATACGTTGTAGCTCCCAGTGCAAAAATCTTTTCTTAATTCCTGTTGTAGTCTGATAGGAGAGAGCTTGGCTGGAAGAGCAGCCCCTCCGCGTTGCTCGCAGGTGGCTGTAAAGTCTGTCTTTACCTCTGAAAGCTGTTGGGGGCACAGGAAAACTCTGGGCTCTGCTCCCAGTGCAGGATTTGTGCTGCTTATTCCTGGCTGCCTGCTGGGGACAGCTGCAGTCAGACTGGGAGCCACCATTCACTTCTGCTGCTTCAGCAAGGGAGGAGACCGCCAGAGGGTGAATTTCTAGGGTCCATCAGCAGTGTGGCTCCTACCAGGTATTGAGTGGCAGACGATGAACACCTCTTGGTTTCAGGATCTGGTCACCAGTTTGTCACCTGGCCTGTAAAGTGGCAGCTGCCTGGTTCACAGTGTGGGGAGGGGTGCCCGCCACTGGCCGTGCTTGTCCTCTGTGCTGGCAGACACGGGCTCTGCTGTGAGCCAGGCCTGGAAGGCAAGCCCTTGCCTCTGCAGAGCAGCCTCCTTCCAAAAGTCTAGTCACTCTGAGTCACTGGAGGGACAAGAACAGACTCTGAAATCTGTGTAACTACAGATGGTCAGCACAAGGAAGTATTGCAGTCCAGGGTTTTCTCCTTTAGCTTTGCTGTGTACCATGAGTGCCTCTTGCTGGTGCCAGGCTGGCCACCAGCGGGAGATGGAGCTTCTGACAGGCAAGGACCAGGCGTTAGTAACTGTAAATTACAGCTGCAGCCTTCAGATGTCCTAGGAGCACCCAGAAAGCCTTGACAGAGCAGTGCTGGTGTAACGTGCTCAGTTAAGAATGCAGCTCATGGATCTCCTGCATCAGTTTCAGCTGGTTTGGGAGGCAGTCCATGCAGAGCACCCTGGCGCAGTGTGGAGGGATGCGACGGTGGCAGTAAGGGTGGGCACCCAAGGTGACAATGCTGTGGGCTGTGAGGATGGAGAAGTTCTAGGCTGCCATTATGCAGAGTGTGGCCGTGGTGGAGAGGCCTCATGGAGCAGCAGTGACCACACTGCCAGGTCCGTCAGCTCACGATTATCTCCAGATATTTCCTAAGGCTGTTAGCTCTTTGTCTCGCTGTAGCGGATGTCACGTCGGGTCCCCTGTTTCGGACAGGGACCTGTGGCTGATGGTAGTGTTGTTTCTACCACTGGCTAGAGGAAGTGGGTGGCTCATGGAACCAAATGTGAAAGGTCTAAAGCCAAGATTATGGGTTCTGCCTAGGAAGGCTAGCGCCAGGGTCTGTGCTCGCTCTTTGTGGTGGGATGCAATGGTTCTGTGCGGTACAGGCAGGCTTTCAAGCTGCTTAGGAAATCCTACAGCCATCACAGTTGCCATCTTCAACTGGCTGCCCTTTGCTTCCATGCCTTGGGTGGCAGAGAAATGCTTGTGCTGCAGCAGTCCATGTCATCACTGCCTCCTTGATAAGGAGAGCTTGGGTATCAACTCAGTCTCAGAGCTTGTTTCTTAGGACTTTTGCTGATGTATGCTCCTGTGCCTGCCCTCAGCCTGTATGCAGGGTGACTCAAAGGCAGCTGAACATCACTGTGCAGAAAAAAGAGAGTAACTGGTGGGAGAGACTCACCAAGCAAGAGAAGCGCCCGCTCTTCCTAGCTCCCGACTTCGACCGCTGGTTAGATGAATCGGATGCTGAAATGGAACTGAAGGAGAAGGTCAGTCCTGTGGGCACATGTGGCTTGTGCTGTCAGCTACAAAGCAAGGATAGCTGTTCTCCTGTGCTGGAACTTCTGTTCTTCATTTGCCTGGAGTTGTCTGGCATGCTGATTGTTACTGCTATTTCATACAGATCCCACATAGAATTGGATAAACAGTTCAAATTGTAAGCAGGAATTTGGAAATAGGCACACTTCTGATTAGAAAGAGCAGCAGCGTGAATCTGAACTGGTGGCTCTGCGCTAGCTCAGCACTGGCCAGGGTCTGCAGCCAAAGGCTTGCACCCCTTGCCTAATGCCTTTGCAGCCCTGTGTCCCAATCCATATGAGGATCATATCAATGTGCCATACAGAGCCCAGAGATGCCAGTCCTGGGCAGTGCTTGTCTGGAAAGCAGGGATTTCTAAGGCTTTCCTGAGCTGCTGGGCTGGCCCCGATGGTGCGTTCCCACCATCTGGTAAGCTTGAGCAGCTTACTGCAGCAGGGAGGTGCAAGACCACCTTGGAAAAGACTTGAACAGACCACATTTCTGCAAATCTGTTTTACAACAAACGCTGCCCTGTTCCCCTCCACAGCCACTGAGCTTAGCGCGGAGGAGAAAGGGCCGCTGCAATGCCAGGAGCGAGAAAGCAGCGGTGAAGGGCAGGCAGAGAGCCTGGGCTGGATGTTCTCAGTTCCCTTCAGGTCACTGGTGGGTCATGAAATGTTTTAAGGAACAGCTCTAAGAATCAATAATAATTGAGAATTAACACAGAAAACAGCAGGCTTTTTCAGCAAAAGCATCTACTAGAATAAAATACATAGTGAAGGCAGGATAACTAGTTAACACGCTCTAGCTTTTGCTGTACCATAATTTCTGGATGATCCATGTGTTGTTTTATGCAGCTGAAAATTTAAACCCTCCCTCTAGCAACTGGCTGCTTAGCTGAGTTTTAAACCCACTAGCTTTGCAGTAGTATAGTTAACAAATCACTTGCTAATTACAGTAACAGTCTTTAAAACCTTATCCTTCATCTTAAGGAAGAAGAAAAGATTAACAAAATGAAAATAGAATCCAGAGTCCCAAAAGACCGTAAGTAACCATACCTTTTTAAGTGTGTAAGGTGGGGTTTAGAAAGCTGCTGTCACTCTTATATGCAAAACCTCAAGTCTTGTGGAGCAATTTTGACTGGCTTGGTGCATCTTGGAGAGGGACCTTTGTATTTAGAAATTTAATACAAATGGACTGCAGTTTCCAAGGAATTTAAAAAAATCTGACTAGTAAGAACTGAATTCTAGCAGATGATGGTAAAAGCAGGCAGAACCACAGTGCACACAGCAATCCTTTTATCGCAATCAATAGCTTCCCTTTTTCTTGCAAGCTTTATTCTCATAGAAAGCCTGGTTTGCAGCTGTGCTCTTTGCAGAAGAGTTACCATTGTACTCTGCTCACCTGATGTGTTTATTACTGATTTTAGCTTTCAAACACCTGAAGAAGGGATACTTAATCATGTATAATCTTGTACAGTTTTTGGGATTCTCTTGGATTTTTGTGAACATGACAGTACGACTGTTCATCTTAGGAAAAGGCAAGTAAAAAGCACTATTTTATTCACATGGGGGGGTGTTTTGTTTTTTTACTGTTGTTTTTAATACTTTCTGAATAGCGAAATCTAAAGGAAGACATACTTAGGAAACAAAACTGTAAATGCATCACCAAAGCACACAACAAAACCCACTCAAAAGCTATCACAGTGTCAGCATAGGAAAATACTGTCCTCTTGTAAATCACAACTGCATATTCTGATGAATGATACTTGTACTCTGCCAAGATTACTTCTAAAGAAATCAGTTGGAGCAAAATGTCTCGCTCACTGCAATGTTAGTATTTCTGAAAATGAGCTGGGCAGAATATTTTGGTTTTGCAGCAAGAACGATTCATTCTATTGAGGTACAGCGCTATCGCTTTTTTGTAAAGTAATTACTGAAATAGCTCTTGATCCTTCTGTTCATGAAAAAGACCACTTGAGCAGTGTTTCTGGCCTAACTGCTGTAACTTCAAGATAAGGCCTATAAAGAAGTTACATAATTATGCATAACGTTTTTTTCAGATACAACTAGAATCCTGTTACCAAAAGCTATGCTGCTGCGCCAGCTTCCTGGACATGGAAATTCATTTGTTCTCTAAAATGGTTTCCTGTGTCTTACAGATTCCTTCTATGACACATTTCACACTGCTGCTGACATGATGTATTTCTGTCATACCCTGGCATTAATGGAGATCATGAATTCACTAATAGGACTAGTCAGATCACCGCTGATACCTGCTGTAGTGCAGGTAAATATTTTAAGATTCTTCTCCTTGCTCTTCCCATGTTTAAAGTAAACCTCTATTTTACACAAGTGTTGAGACTCTCCTAAAATAACTGATAACAACCTCACTGGCACTGGACTAGAGAATATATTATTCAAGACGCAGGAATCCATGCATACCAGTCTTAGCTGTGGGAGGCTGTCTTCTTCCATCACCTAGGTAAGATACTTGAGGACAACAAAAGCAAGAAGCGGCTGATGAAAAGTACATGATTTTGATTTGGTGCCAGTGCCCTTTTTATCCTGGTTGTGGTTGTTGTGCATAAAAATGGGGATAGATGATTTAAGACTGGGTCCCTTGGATTGCACTTAAATACAGAGCAAAACACGTGCTTATAAGAAGCAGGTCACAGCTCAGCTGCAGAGTTAGTTATGTGCTCAGCATATGTTTTAGACATGAAGAGTAGATACCCTGCGTGTTTTTGACAGCAAGGACTTGCTCTTTCTTTTGATGAAGAGTGTGACTGTTCCTTAATTTTTTTTTCTTAAACAGATACTTGGAAGAAACTTTATTTTGTTTGTTATCCTCGGAAGCTTAGAGGAAATGCAGAGCAAACCTGTGGTGTTCTTTGTATTTTATTTCTGGAGTATCGTTGAGCTGTTCAGGTGTGTGAGATTTTTCTTCTAGCAGGTGTGTACAGAATAATGTGATTGTTCCCAAGAACTCTTTAAAGAAGATTTTGATCTTTGTACCTTTTGGAAGAGTGGCACTAGTGCATTGGCCCCAGAGGGTGAAATCTCCTTTGGATGTGGACTATCACAGCCTGCCTAGGTTGCTCCATCTGCCAAAAGCTGGGACAAGGCTGGAGACTGAAAATAATACTGCCCTGAACCTAGGGAAACCTGTTTTTTCCTTTTTTTCCTTGAGGGTTCTGTTTTGAATTTCCATTGTTGAGCTGCACTATGCTCTGTTTCTCTTTCAAAAGAAGTATTTTGAAAGGTTTATTAGGCAAGCCAGGCAGTTACATTCATCTGTATGGTCAGATTAAGAGCATTAGTTCTGTAAACTGCCAAATAAGGGTGCATCCGTCATGATCCATAGGAACAATTTTTTGAATATTCTTGCATAATTTGGGAATTATGTTGACTATACAGCGTATACATACAAGACTAATTCTAGTAGCAGCTTCCATTTTAAACAGCATCTGTTTCTTCTCACACTGAATTGGTTTTAGGTATCCATATTACATGCTTTCATGCATCGGTATAGAATGGAAACCACTAACCTGGCTCCGTTACACTGTCTGGATCCCTCTCTACCCCTTAGGAGGCTTGGCAGAAGGTATGTCCAAAAAAGGCAGTTTAATAAACAACGAAGTCAAGGTTGGGCAAATAACTCAATTTTTCGTTTGGCTGCTGGACTAAAAAAAAAATAGAACAGTAGATAAATAGATGTTTGCTTTGAGCTGAACCAAATGTAAGCATTTTTGTCTTGCTGAATCCAATATTTTTTTCAATTTGATGTGAAAAGAAGTCTTCCTTGTGGGCACTGGAGATGAAAGTAAAGGCAACAAAAGGTTACATGAACAGATTGACCAGGAACACACTGCAGTCCATGTGAGCGGCACAGGATGACAATGCTCGCTTCCCTCTGCTTATCCAAAGCAGTGTATTTGCTTTTGTCTGCTAGACCTGACTTGGTCAGCCTGCCTTGGGTTCACACCAGCTCACAGGTCCTGACATCTTGTTAATCATTGCACAGGACAGGCAGAGGCCAGTTCTTCTCTGAAAGCAGCATAGCCTGTTCTGAGACAGGTGTGGTGCTTGCCAGATAGGGCTCTGCTCCCCTTCCGCTTGGAGAGTGACTGCTTTGTGGAAGAAGCAGTCACCCAGTTGTCTTGCTGTAGCCCCTCTGGGGGCGGCGGTGGGCAGGTGGCTTTACAGTGACCTCTTCTGTCTTAACAGGTCTGGATTATTTTTAATTTTTATTTGTTTGAGAAGCATATCGCCACCCAGCTTCTAGCTGTAAGAAATGTGTTGTAATGATATCTGTCAGAACCTCCTTCTCTGAGCCAGTAGGTGTGGGCATTGCCTAACCCCAAGCACAGGAACAACCATGCCTCTTTCATTGCTGTGGGTATTTTTGCATGGTAAATACTGCTGGCATGGGTCCTGCAGGCTACAGTTGTGTATGAGAACAGTGTCTCACCAGGCAAGTTCACTGTGTTTAGCCTTTTGTAGCTGAACTGCTATACTGCCTCAGCTAGCTGCTTTCCATCATACTGCATGTTTAAAAAAACAGCTTTAAAATTGGTATAATTGATGAGAGCTAGCAACTAAGAGGGGAATATCCTGAAAAAGTTGGTGTGGGCTGGGCAATTGTATATTTCATCTGTGTTTAGTAATGATGGTGACCTTCTGCTTTCAGCTGTCTGTATCGTTCAATCCATTCCAATCTTCAGTGAAACAGGGAAATTTAGTCTGGGATTGCCAAATCCACTGAACGTCACAATCCAGTTCTCATTTTTCCTTCAAATATACCTTATAGCCTTGTTTCTAGGTAAGATATTTAATTGCATTTCTCACTACTGAAATAAAAAGGCCAGTTTCCTCTGAATAAGTATATTTTTCAAAGAAAATAAAATTCCTGCATCTTGGGGGATCATGGCAACACAGAACTGCTTGAGGTTAAGCATTATCCTTGTTGCTTGTTTATGTAAATTTCTCAGTGATGGAGGGGAACACACCTACAATTACCACTGGTTAGCCCCTGCAAGGAGACCTTTGTAACAGGTTAGCAGCATTATCTACTGATCACTTGGGTTAAAAAAATAATTTTTACATGTATTTATAACCTCAGTATACTTAGTTTCCCCTTTTACATGGTATTTGAGCTTTGGAATGATTTAGTGGAAATCTAAACATAATTTCAGATTAAAGCAATGTTTAACTAAACTGCGTTATCACTAATGCAACGCAAAGTCATGTTTTTCCAGGAAGCAATATACAAGGCTCTTCAAATACTAGTATATTTAAAGAAGAATGGTGCTTGATACATATTTGGTTTCTGGTATTACATTTTTAAACCTAAGTTAGCTTTGTAGTATGCACACCGTATGTATGGGTATCCAGTCAGTAGAATCTAACCTAGAATTTTAAACTGAACTTTCACTAGATTTTACCCTTTCACAGACATTGCTTAAAGAATACCTTTAATCGCGTTTCACTCTGAAATGCTTGTTTGATCCTTCCCCAGCTCTGCACAGCCAGTGTTGCAACTTTCTCAAAGTGACAAACCAACCTTCTGAGCAGCCTGGTACCAAACAGCCTGTGCAGCAACTCCTACCTCACCCAGCAAGAAAAAACTTGCATTATCTTTCAATGCTATACACACCCTTAAACCATCACTTTTTTGTGTGGTGGGTGGTTTATTTGGGTTTTGTTGTTTTTTAAAATTTGGTACAGCCATCTGGCATTAAAAAGATGCAATGAAGTTCTACCTTAAACACTTCATTATTTTTCAGGGGTATTTGTAAACTCCCGTCATCTCTACAAGCAAAGGAAACAGCACCTTGGACCAAAGAAGAGAAAGATGAAGTAAAGGAGGACTGCAATGCTTTCTTACCTAATTTATCTCAATGACAAGATAAGCCTCTACTTCTTATGGTTTTACCCACTGTAATGTAAAGAATTTTGTAAAATTAAATGATCATGCTAGATTTCATGATTTCATAGTGAATTCAGGTAACACTCCCATATACTGTATTTTGTTCCCTTTCAATCACGTATGCATGGCATTTACCATTGAACAGTAACATTTAAACTTGTATTCTGTCAACTACCATATTAGAAAGAAATCCTATTATCTGCATATAATATGCTTACAAACAGTGGAGCAGCACTAAATAGAAATAGTGTTTATCTTTTAATTGGATATTTGCTCTTTCAATATTGCATGCAGATAGGGCTTCTGATGTTGGGATATACTACTACTTGGCCCATGCTGTTCCTAGGGTGCATCTTGATGGCAGGAGGAGCACAGTCTGAGACCACAGTGAACAGTGTTTGGGTGTTTATCAACTGTTGGGGTAAACTTGCTCAGCACATACCCCCACCTTTTTTTCTGCAGCATACTGATGCTGCAGAATTAAAACTGGAAGTAGCTAATGCCAATTTAAATGCTACCAACTTAGTCTGTTTCTAGTTCAGCCTTAACAGAATAGGAGTGCTGTGTGGATCCTAGAATTCCTGTAGCAATACATCCTTATCCAGTCACAAGGGAAGGGAAGCTGCCACTCTGTGACGTGGTCACAAACACCTTCCTGATTGCTAATGCAAGCACTGAAACATAACAAAACAAGGAAACATAGGTACCAGCTTTCTCCTAGCATGTGAACGAATGCCAGCAGAACACCATCCCACCCATGCAAAGGGAAAACGTGGAACTGTCATGGGAGACCAGAGCTCCTCTGATCATTCCTGGCAGTGCTGTAGCTCCTGTATTTATAGCCTTCAGAAAGGCAGTAAAGATTGCTTTTCTACTTAAACTTCGGGGTGCAGCTGAAAATTTAGTGTATATGCTGCTTTGGTGGGTCCTTGGTGGGATGGAGCAGTGAGTCAAATCATGTATTATTGCAATAGCATGTATCAAAGCTCAGTAAGGGGGATCTCACACAGGGTTTGAAAGGACCCCTTCCTCTGCACTTGCTTTAAACAACAGCAAAAACAAAAGATAAGCTCCTCCCACATTCCAGGTCATCTGCTCTCTCACCTGGAAACCTTTGTTTCAGTTGACTTAATTTCAACATGGCCTCCTTCACACCTAGCCTCCTGTAGTTAATTCCAGATGCCTCTGGCCTCCTTAATCCAGTTTAGAAAATGTACAAAAAGTTTGCTCTAAACTGCACTGTGGTTATGAACAGGTTGCTTCACAACAACTGCCACTGCCTCCAGGGCAATGCAAAGCAATGCCAGCAATCCCGAACAGGCACTGAAGTTGAGATTAGCTTAGTGCCAGGTTACTATTTATCTTTTTCTACTGTAAAACAATATGAATCCTCCAGAAAATTATTTTCTATATTAAAGGTAACAAGCAGCTTACTGTTTGTGATATGGACCCAGTGAATGTTACTGTAAAGGAAAGGAAATAGTGTTATACAGAGATTTTAAGAAAGAACTGGTACAGGCTCCACGCTGCATTTAACAAATTGTGTTCTGTCAACAAGAGGCATGATGCAACTTCTCTTTAGGGATATTCAAGACTCCCACTCAAAGGAGAGCGCAGCTTACTTTACTCAGGAGAGTTGAGCATTATTTACACACTATTTCACTTAGCACACACTGTACCTATGTTTGAAGTATGTCAAAGGATTGAATTAGCTGAGCAACGGAACAGCAAGGATCACTTTCATACTTTATCATTTCTCCACTGGGCATTTAAACTTCTGTTATGAAATCCATATGTATTCATACATTGTATTTCTCAGTGAAATTGTGGTACCTAGTGCAAGTTGTCATGGATCTTACACTACTGAATTTTAGTCCTTCAGAATGAATGTGTTTCTATTAATAAAGAAAGATTTACAACCAAATTTTGCTTTAGTTCAGTTGTTTGTTCTTTCCCTGAATGCAAGAAGTTGTTTAATTTATTATTTAACTCTTATGATAAACAGCTGGGAGCCAAGCCTTCACCAGGTTAATGTTTTAGGCCACACAGGCTAGTTGCTATGAAAATGGAACAAATCCAACAAATTTTCATGAAGAATTACTCTTTATTAATATTACACAAATAAAAAACGTCTCACAAGATTTAAGTTACTTTCACAAGCATAAGCACTGCAATGCAAGTGATAACTCTCATTATGGTAGTACAGACTGGCTTTCAAGTCGGGCATAAAATTAGTTAACAACACCGTGAAATTAGCTGTGTATCTGATCTTGCACAGTGATTCTCACGCATGTTTTCTTTGGACTAATGAAGTCAGTCTATAAAGTATAGTAGCTGCCTTTTAGGATACTTTTACCAGTGAGTTCAGTTATGTAGTAACTGCATTTTGGGGAGGCCAAAGGCCATGAGCAGTCTGCTGCTTATAATGGCATTTTCTTTCTCTCCTCACATGTACTGAATAACTTCCACCCATCATCCAACACCGTAATTGATTTCGAGACACCTTCCACAGTTTCCAGGTCCAACTAAAGCCACCACAAACTAGCTACATTTATTTAGAGAGCACTGATGCAGGTAAGGGACCTCGTTTTGATACAAAGTTCTCCAAACAGTAATTAAAAACAGGCCCTAGAAAGTAAACAGGACAAGAAAATTTGATCCACTTGAGTCTTAATCTATAGAAGTTCCCAAAATGGAGACTTCACATTCTTTCAGTGCTGCTACTGGAAAAGTCTGTCTGCAGTGGAGCAATGTTATGATCATAGGCAGCATATTCAGATGCTCCAGTACTTGCCACTTTAAGCTGCTGAGCAGCATGTGTGAGCTGAAACGCTGCATCAGGATGAGCCGTGTCAGGAAGCAGGGTGCACTCCCGCTCCAGCATGTCTGCAACGCCTTTCAAGAGGTCCAAAAAGCCAAAGGCCAGAGCTGCCTTTCGTAAACGATTAAGTTCCTGCAAAGAAGGAAAACTTTTAAAGCCACTGTAAGCCTTTACATAAAAGGTGGTTGTCTTCTTTTTTTAAAGGCAAGCTTATTCACATAGAGAAAGATAACCTGACTAATCAGTTCAGCTGCTGGAAACTGCCCAGCTGCTCATGAGATGAAAAATACTTCAGGGCTGCAGATAATAGTGGCACAACTAAACAGTTGGTTTTCCCTTGATCCCTTCCTATAAATCTCCACTTCTTCCTTTACCCTTTTGTGCATTCAGCTATTGTACCTGCCTGTTTAGTATGTGTCCCAGCTGGGGGTTGCCTCCAACTTAGGCTTCACTGACTATTGCCTTTAACTGCAGTGTCCAGCAAGATGTATATATATTGATTTTTCTTCACTATAAACTGACGAGTGCTTATGTACATTTAGGCACAGTACTCATTCCTGAAGTCTCTGGGGGCTACAATAACAAACTGCTTCAGCACTAAGCTTACAAGAGGAACAACAATTACCTCCAGCTACAGTCTAGATTATGGATTATTACAATGTGGCCAAATGTGCCTGCAATTTTGTCTTTCTCTGCTTCAGTTGTAGAAAAAAATGCAGGAGACATTTTCAGACTTAGAATGACATCTGTGTTCCTATTCCTCTCTGATCCCTCAGTTTATTTCTGCCTGGACAACAGCATAAATTGTGCAAAGAAGTTCACCATGGAAGTAGCAGGGATTGTGAAGGGCACCTATAAACATGACATGCCTATGCCACCCTGCCAGAGAATGTGGTGGCAGGGAAACCAGACCCCTTGTCTCACCTTACCTAGTGTGTAAAATAGACCCAGGATGTCTCTTTCTTTACAGAACCACGTATGTTTTTGCAGAGCCCTACAAGCCTGCACAGACCATACTGCAGATGCAGACAGTATGTGTTCCTCTGTCAAATGCACCACTATCACTATGGATCAAACTTGGGCTGGCCTGAAATGTTACTCACTTTGTAGAAGGTTTGAGTTTTTTCAGGGAGTTTCCTTGCATTTCTCAAGATCTTCTGTACATCTGTCTGCAGAAAAGAAAAAAAAAATTAAAAATCTTGGCAACTGCTGGGGAAGCTGCAGAAAAAAATCCTCAACTACTTGTTGATAAATTATCCTGACCATTGACAAGACTGCAGCACACAAAGGCTGAAACATAAGCAGTAATTATACTAAATCCAATAAACTAAGCCAGATGCTACACTGGAGACACAGCTTTCATTAAACAAGCTATGCTTTCTGATTGCATTTTAATCATGACATTTTAAAGAGGGAGTGTTTATAAAAACGAAAGAAAAGCAATAAAGCAATTACATTAAACAGACAAGACACACACAGACTCCACTTTGCTGGTAAGATGGCTACTGCTGATCAAAGTAAAGCATCAAGTGCAAAACCTGTATCATTACCTGGAGGCCACTTGGTTTAATCCACACAGTAACATTCTGTGCATAACTGCGCTTGTTCTTGGGTTGCAAGGGAAAAGGGCTCTTATTGTCATCTTCTCCATAAGGATTTTCTTTTGCATCTGGGAGAAAAAAGAAAATAAACAGACTTAACTAAGATTTGGCAAGGTCATTCATACAACTGAATGTGCAAGAGTTATTCAAATGAACGTCACCAGTACCTGAAATGGGTCCAAGCTGTGCCATCTTCCCTAGCCATGGAAGGGGCTCAGGGCCAGGTTCAAAGAGTGACATCATGAGGTTTGATTTCTTCTTGCTATCAGCTTGTGAATAGAGCATTCCATACCACTCTGGCCTATTGAAAAGAGCAAATCCCAAAGGCTGAAAATCTTCCATCCCTCTTTGCCTAGAATTTGGCTCCCTCCCACTGTGTAGAGGCTCACTATTTGCAATTTATACTGGCAGAAACATATCCACAATTAAAAATCCACAGCTTTCTCTAGCAGCGCAGAGTTCTGTACAGAATACAGATATAAATAAGTATAATATATAAATAAAGCATAAATGAGCAAAGTAATAGATTTTTCAGGCAGACATCCAGCTCCATACCCCAACTGGACGACAGCCACCATGCCTTCCACTTTCAGGCTGCCATGTAATAAAACACAGAAGTTGGGGATTTTCCCAGCAATCTGATTAGCTGAATTCTCATCTTCAGTGTCATCTGTGATCCCAGGTCCCACCTCATCACCTTCTGGGGAAGAATAAAAGCAAACAAAGAGACAACATAAGAAATAATTTGAACATACTAGTTCCATTTCCATGACACCACCCTGTACTTTCCGCCATGCAAGAATTAATTAAGAGTTTTGTAGAACGAACAGCTGCTAAATGAACTGTTTGGGTAAAGTGGCACTAAAATGTTATATAAATATTCCACTGCATCCTACTCACAAAACAGAGTTACCAAAAAACTGCAAATAAAACCTCAGCTTTGAAGAAACTAGAAATGAAATGGCACCAAGAATCTGGCAACAAATAGATGTCTGCTTCTGGACCAAAAGCATCCTGAATTTCAAGTCCTCCTCTCCTATGTAATTTATAGTCATTATGAGAAACTTACCATGTTTTAGCAGCTGGAACACAGCTGTGACTTAACTGTTAATATCTTCTAACGTGAAAGGCCTAGCAGGATAAGAGTGTTGATACAGAGATGAAAGCATATCTGGATCTTTCACTCTTCTTTACCAAGAGAAATCTCATTGTCTCTTTGCTCCACTCCATGACCATGACAAAAGGAAAGGGGAAGTCCTTCTTAACACAGGCTGATGCACTCAAGTAGCTGCAAGTCAGCAGTAGGTTTAACCATCCTCAAAGCCTACACCACTCATTTGTATAGACACATATCTGGCCCCAATGAGCAGCAATTAATGCTCAAGTACAACTGAGCAATCTAGTTGCGATTAAGATCAGATTTTTCACAACAACAAATCATTCGAAGAACCAATTAGATGCAGGCATTAAACATTCATCTTGCACCACATATTTCATGGCCCATAACTATTTTTAGCTTTAAGTTTAGCATGTTCTATTAATAATGATGCTATAAGGACACTGTTCCCTCTATTAACTTTCTAAAGAACACAGTATTCAAAAAAAGAAAGAGCTTGTGTTCAAGGTTTTAATTTTAATGTAACCACACAAACATGTCTTCAGAGACACCTGGCATTTTGATAAAGCATAAAACCTCTGCTTCTAGTCTAAACCACCACAGACATTACACAGGAAGCTTAAAGCAGTTTTTGCTAAAAGAAACAAAACTTGCTCACCTCTGTTAAGTGCAATGGGCAGTACCAAGTGTCTGGACAAGACAGGAGGGCTAGAAATGTCAGCTATATCTACAAACCCAACAATTTCTAGATCTGTGGGGAGACAACAGGTTTAAGTCAGATTTGGCAATAGCTGAAATGTATTCAGAGTCAATTTAACATTACCACTTCTTACACCACTAAGTTTTCTGAAGCAGTGACTAGAGGTAGCACAATAGAGTCCCAACCTTGACTGGGGTGTCTAGCTGTTAATAAGATAAAAACATTCACACATAATACCATGACACTTTAAGATGAGAACATAACTTTCATCACACACATACTGCTGTCCATGAACTGTGCTGCTAGACAAATACAGAATTGTGCACGTTGTTTTTTACACTGTACACAATCCATTGCCATTTTATAAATTCAAAAGAAGAGAAACCAAAGGACTAAACCAAATCTACTAACTTCAAACTGGCATCACAAAATCTGCAGGAATTCCCATCAACTCTCTGACAGGGTTAGCCCTGGTGGCACATGTTCCCAGGACTGGGAAGACTGAGTTGTGGTTCTTGAGTTTTATATGCCCACTGGAATTTTAAATGCAGCTCCATCTCATACAGAGTTGTGGACATTCGCTGGTAAAAGATTGAGGCAGCCACATCCTTCATGCTCAGCCTTGTCTGATTTCCTTCTCACTTTTGGC